TCTCCCCTAGTCATTGAACCCCGTTGCTAGACCTTAACACTCAACGATGAATGCAGATAATGATATAAACAGAATCATATTAGTTTCAAATGCTTGTAACAAAGATTTTTTGTTTTTGCACTACTACTTCTAAAGAAATTGATATTATGTCTCTTTTTTCATCGGGATTTAGCATATGGTAATAATTTTATGCCAATCAAAAACCCCAGATGTAATTAATTACTTGGAATATCGTTATAATGACATGATCAAATCAATTTCTGCTCCTTTTTCTGATCTAAAACCCAGTAAATCCAGTGACCTTTAGATGTGTCCAAAAAGACTTTTAGTTACCAAGTTTTTTTAGCAACATTCACAGTTCCCTGCGATAGGCCTATTGGTCCACCAATAAACTTGTTAGCTCCAAAATATATTCTGTTTTGACTTCTCCAAGACTGTACAATATTTGATTTATAATTATTTTGACTATCATATGTTTTTCTATTGCTTATGTTATGAAAACATTCACGAATTAGAATTTGTGTTGAGTTAACATGAGTGCTTTTATAAATTATTTTATAATTAATTAGAGTAATTTTATTTGGCAACGAGTGTGAAAATCAACTAGCTACTGTAAAATTCAACACATTTACTTTTGCTGATTGATTGAGCCATTTTCTATTAGAGAATCAAAAGCATAAATAAGAGCAGCAAATGGCAAGTAAAGAAAAACACCCCCGCCACAGCAAACCTGCAGACTAAGCGAATTTCAACTTGTCAGATGACATTTTTATTAAAACATTTCCATAAATAAGACGTATTTATTCCCAATTGAAGTAACATTAGATTTAACGAGTGCTTAGGTTTGCTGCTATGGGGAAAGTAAAAAGTGATTTTTGACCAAACTTAAATAGCATAGGAAAAAATAAATAAGTTTGCTAAATTTTATCGACATATATCCATAAACAAGTTAACTAAAACAGTTTCAATTTTCTCCATAAGAATAACATGACAATTTTAAACTTACTTTGTTTTATTTTCTCTGTAACCTTTAGGCATACAACAGAGCTTCAATATACTTAAGTATTTATTTTTTTATGCTCTGATAAACTGTTTGAAAAGAAATTGCTAAATTTTTTGTTTTCAGGGTCAAAAATGGGAAAAACTCGTTTTTACCCCATAAAACCCCCCATAAACCACCGTTCCCATGGTCCAATCTTGCTGGTTTGCGAACTCGTTCGAATTAATGTAGGTTTACAGGCTCATACCAAATTTCGACAAAATCAGATCATTTTTGGTCGAGTTATCGTGCTAGCTTATCCCCTCACTCATTTTTACCCCATAACACCCCCCATAAACCACCATTCCCATGGTCCGATCTTGCTGGTTCGCGAACTCGTTCGAATTAATGTAGGTTTACAGGCTCATACCAAATTTCGACAAAATCAGATCATTTTTGCTCGAGTTATCGCGCTAGCTTATTCCCTCTATGGGAAATTTGCTAAAAGAGATGGAAAGGATAAAAACAATCTTATAACGATGTGTTAAAATCATTAGGTTTATTGATCAATAAAATCTACTATGTTTTTATGTTGTAATCTGTAATATTTTTAATAAACAATTTTATATGTAAAGGAGTTTATTTGTTTATATCGATGCTCACTCCGCTCAACTGGCAGACATGTGGCCGTATACCTAGGAAAGGTCTGAGGATTGGAGCCCTATGAACACGAATCATGAGCGGCTTCTTCAACGGGTTAAATAATTACAAACTGTTAGTCTATGATTAATAATTTTCGTATTGTATTTTGTAAACTTATCAATTTTTCCGAGGAGTAGAAAACCATTCCTGGATACTTTTGTCACTATTACTACTCCTACAGTGCCCAAACATCAGAAGAAAACTTAGCAAGTCTTCTTTTAGTTTGCACTTAAAATACTATTTCAAATCAATTATTAGCATTACCATGTTTTTTCCAAATGTTGCATGAATTTCATCATGCATTTTGACATTAATTAAATGTTATTATACATAATTTTAAAGCTTGTTTGATAATGAAGGTTTTGATTATATTTGATACTTCAGCGGAACTCTATAACCTAGGAATAAGGCTCTTAATATGTATTACATTTTTGTCTTCGTAATAGCTTTTAAATTTTATGATGCAACTTAAGTAGAATGTTGTTCAACACTCCAATGTGTATGTATCATTGTTATTGTTAATGTTGTGAGGATTTCAAAATGGCCTTTATGATAACCATAAATTTAATTCTTACATAGCCAAATAGGGATTTTTATAACTACTACCAATACTTTTTAAATCTTAATTAATCTTTTATTTTTCTTTTTTTTCTTTTATTGTTTGAGTTGGGAAGCTCAAATAGGCATCATTACCATGTAGTTTGACGGATAATGTTATTAAACATTTATGATAGGACAACCTGTATAAAAGCGTGTATTAATATTTTATCAACAGCAGGAAAACGTAGGTCAACACATCGGATCAGTAACATAGGTGCTTGACTTACAGGTTATTAAAATAGTGTATTTCGCTTAAAAAACAAACATTAGACATCAAATTATAAATCATTTTGGGCTAAAGCGTTGTTGTTATAAACTAAGGCAAGATTGTAATCTTATGGAGCCTTACAAATAATAAATTCCATATTATGTAAATATTTGACACTAAATCAAATTTTCCTATGCTATCATAAACCTCATAGTTTTGCTCTCATTTACAGAAAAGTGAATAATATAAAATATTATTTGTAGTAAAATTATATTGGAAAAAATCTACATTCTAATATTCTCTGGCCGTGAAACGAACGTTTATGAGGAGAAAACACTACGTTGCATTTTCTACAATCCAATATTCCTTCTTTGTATTGGAGGAAATTGCGTCATGATACATATAAGCAAGCGCCTTCACTATTCTTTTTCAATATTAATTTTAAAATAGAAATGAATTGAATACATTGAAATTTTCATCTATTACTAATTACAAAACTTATATAATAATTATTATTTAATGAATAAAAATGACCAAAAATGTTAATATAAAAATAACGTTTGTTAAGAGCGTTACATATTGATTGTCTTATACGTTTCATCAGATTCACGAAAGTGACACGATAAAGGCTTTAATAAAAATGTTAATTGCAGTAAACCTTTTAGTACTTATAATATTCAGACTTAAAAATCTACCAACAACATTTTCAGGCTATATGTCTAAGATTGCAATGAGTTTAAAAAAGTAAAATAAATGACTGTATTGGTTGGCCGTCTGCTAGCTTACAAGAGGTGTGGTCTGTTGTTAGTGAGTTCATGTTTTATGGTTTAAAGTGAGTTATTGCTTTTAATAAAGCTACAAGTACAAATCAAACCTCGAAGTGTGAGTTTAAGAACCTTTCAACCAATTCAATACATTTTTTATACAATATAAATAGTAAATACTCACGTTTATGCAATAGCTAGGTTATGCATGCTGGTTTTCTTATCCGCACTTGATCGACCAGTCTGCAAGTTTGATGTTGTGTGGATCACTTTAATTAATACCTGTTATAAATGTCTCATCTGCTATCTCATTTATTAATTAAATTTACCAACTAATAGCTCCTAATTGAAAAGGTTTTGGGTCCAGGATTATGTTTGTTGGATCCTGTTTCTGTCATAAAGTCGTCTGCTAGCACTGACAGTTTTAAACAGTCTGCAAACACCAGAGTTGCCTGTCAGTTTTTAGTTTCCATGAAGCGGTTTCTGTTCTCTAAAAGGAGCATTGATTAAATATCCTTCCCAAGCCATCGGGTTTGCCTACAATTCGTTGCACTTCCAATCAATTAGATCTTGGGTATATGAAGAACTGATTCGACAAACCAAATAAAAATCTCCTCCATAATAACTAGACTAGTGATTCTACTAGCTCTGGGGCTGCTGCACATTCTTTTATTTCGTTCGCCCACTACAGTAACAAATGACATCCCATATCATCAACAAAGAGATCTGTGTCGTCTGTTGCAAGAAGGTGATTGATAGGGGCGTGGAATGTGAAATACAGGATTGCAAACGTTGGTTCCACCCAGATTGCGTAAAGCTGTCTTCCTCCGAGTATAAAAAGATCGCGGATGGATCAGTCAAGAACTGGACCTGTGACCGCATGGACTGTGGGTCACAGCCTTCTGCCCCCCCCGCAGATATTCTAAATACCATCCTGACTAAGATCGATACCTTGGCCACCTCAACTCCTTATCCAATGCTATAACTTCTATTAAGGACCAACTATCTGATCCGTCGAAGAAGGTCGGCGATCTGGAGCCTAAATTATCGCTGCTGAACAAGAAATCACTGCAATTAAAAATGACATTTCCACCCTCAAGCCAGGCACATCAACTGAGCCTCTGGAGGACTTCTGTTCCGAAATGGCTGATCGACTTGCTAGGCAGTCCAACTTTATTATGCACAAGTTACCTGAGAGTAAGAGCACTGATACGTCGGTAAAAAAACTCATGATCGGGAGCTTATAAACCGTGTCCTCAACTCAATTAAGTATGAAATATCCGAATTTACTTATTCAGATTGGGCAAACCCTCGCCAAACACTATTAGGCCAGTGAAAGTTATCCTTCCAAATGCGGATTCTACGAAGAGCTTCTTCAAGAAATTTTCAGCAAATTTTCTCCCAAATAGGTTATCTGAAGTCACAGTCTCGAGGGATTGGACTACCAGTGAGCGCAAACTTCTTGACAATCTTCGTGACATATTGCAAACCAGAACCAAAAACGGGGAAAAAGATCTTACGATAAAATACCAAAATGACCCTCCTAAAATAGTAACGATGTCAAAAAACTAAGTTCTTCCACTGACCTGGCCAACTACTCAGTTTATTACCAGAATGTAAACGGGCTCAGGTCTAAATTGCATGATCTTCGCTTATCTTTATCTTCTTGTTCCCACGATATTATCGCCTTCACTGAGACAAATCTCCAGCCATCTTTCCGTTGTGGTGAGCTTGGTTTCCTGCCCACCTACTCAGTCTTTAGGAATGACCGATCACCATCAACCTCCAGCAAGTCTAGTGGTGGAGGTGTCCTCATTGCTGCATCCAATTCACTGAAGCCAACTGAAATTAGTACTGATTTGGACTTAGAATCTCTCTTCATTTCCTTAACTCTTCGTCCACACTGCTGAGCTCTTCTTATAAATGTGTATATCCCGCCCAGCTCACCACTTCAATCCTACATCAAACTCTCCACTCACATCGAAGAGGTTTTGGCAAAATCCAACTTCAGCTTCATTCATATATTCGGAGATTTCAATATTCCCATTTCCAGTTGGGATAACGAACATGCACCTGAAGCAAATTCTCCCCTCTCAGTTGTCTCCAACTTAGCGGCGATGTTTTCTCTTTGTCAAGTCAATTCCATAACTAACTACAGAGGCGACCTGCTCGATCTGATCTTCACTTCATCTTCTAATGCTCTAGTACTTCGTGACGAAGATCCTTTAATCCCTGAAGACAGACATCATCCAGCTCTAAACTGTGTCTTTGCTCAGCCACCCCCATTAAGTGTCAGACACAGATCTGTACTCAATACAAGAAGATGTAACCTGCAGAGTGTCTTCGAAGACCTGTCCGTGGCCAATCTCGATGCGATAGCCTCGCCTGGGGATGTAAACGAATCGTTTCAGCGGCTCATAAACACCATTAGACATTCAGTTACTACATATTGTTGCTGCCTAGTATGAAAAACTCACTGTTTCTGTTTTCCAGATCTTGCTAGTGTTTGTTGTTGCATTGTAAGTTAACTTATTGTATTTATTGTTCTGTTTTTGTTCTTGTTATTCTTTTTTGCATTGTGTTGCATGTATTGAGATTTCTCGTTGACTGACGTTGATCTGATATTGTTTCTTTTATTAATTGTTAAATATTGTTCTTTGTCTTTGCTTGAAATTTGTTACACAGAATCATGTATATTTGAATTGTCCATGTACAAATTGGCAATTTGCCGTGGAAATAAATGAAATGAAATTAAATGGTTATGAGTGTCTTTGGTTTTTACGATTAGGTTAAAGTCCATCCGTTATTATAATCTTCATAGCGGATTTATATTTTTCAGTAGTTTATATAGGCTACAGTAGCTATGTTGCGCCATTGAACGGCACCGCGAGAAGCGCTTGCAGACGTAAAGTCATCTCACATTACTTAGTTACATTTAATTTTTTCCATCTGAAGAAGGTTCTTTACTACCTAGATTCAAATGTATGACTCTATCGTTTTATTTTTCTTCTAAAAATTCATTTGTATGTATAAAATGCTTTAGAAAAGAGCTTTTTATAAGTATTTACCAGTCACTTCCTGAGCTAGAATTGAAACCTACTTTCCCCAATGTTTAGAAGTAGTTAAAGACGATTTCAATAAATATTTGAAGTAATTTACACAATGATGGCTACAAACTAATGACATGTAAATAACATAGGCGTAAACAATTTATAATGTCGCTACGGATAATTGGGTAGGCCTACGTACCAACAGGGGATGGGCCTATTGGCTCAACGGTCTGGCAATGACAGCGCAATGGTCGAAGCCGAAATCGACACATAGGAAAACTATTCGAGTTTAGCAGTATCCGTGAACCTCTGTTACGATCACAATGACATCGTATAGATCACTCAAGATCGCACCAGAATCCGTGATTACCAACTACATTAACAATTAAATTAAAAAGTAAGATATACAATGTTAATTTGAGAGAGGATTTTCATGAGCATGACACTAGATCTAAGAACCTTTTTGATGTGCCGTTTGTTGGATTAAGAAAAAGTCAAGTTCAACACAGCTTATTAAGTTTAAGATTTTTTAACAGACTCCCATGTGAAGCCCGAAACCAGAATTTTTCAAAATTCAAAACCAACCTCAGAAACCTTTTATTGGCCAACCCACTGTATTCCTGGAATGATTTTTTTAATATACCAGCAGCATCCGTAAGTACCTATTTTTAAGTTTTTTACCTATTTTTAAGTTTTGACTCTTGATATGTGATATTTATTTGACTTGCATGTGTAATTAGACCTTGCATCTTTTAGGTTTTTAGTTGTGAACATAAAGTGATTATTTATTATTATATATTTATTTATTTATTGTAGAAATTTTGAGAGTTTTGTAGAAGCATGTTGATTGATATTGAATTTGCCTTGTGAATGCCTTGTGATCATTATGCCTTGATTTACTGACGATTCAAAATGCATGTAATTTGTAAAAAGGAAAATAAATATTCTTATTCTTCTTATTCTTATTCTTACAGTTGTGATTTTTACTTCACACGACAGTCACCGAAACCCATTTATTATTAACTGAATATCGAGTTTTTAAGTTGTAAAATAAGGCAAAATTAGGTTCACCATGACTAAGTTAGCCTTATTTTACAACTTAAATAGTGATATTTCATTTATTTGTCATGTGATCTCTGTGATCTTGGTGTCGTTTGATACGTCATGTTAAATGATAAATAAAAGCGTTCTTGACATATTTTCATTAAATTAGCAATTGTTTGGTAATATATAGTTATGAAAATAAAATTGGTTATTTCAAATTGGACCAACTTCATTTTTCTAACATAGGTCTCCTTAAGTATAATATACATATTATCAAGTTTATTTTTATTGGTTTAAAAACTTCAAAGGTATGTTTATACATGAATAAAAACAAAATGACGGATATCTGGGTTGATAAGCATTTTTGGATATACATACAAATTAAAGTTTTTCTTCTATGAGAATCCATATTCCTAAGTTCTAAAACGTTTTTTATGGACACCTTGTATACGCACGATTTAATGCACCGTACAAGTTGGAACCGCACATTAAGGGTTAGGGTTAAGCCTGTACGGTTTTGGATTTAAGTTGGTTAATAGAACAGGCAAACTTTACATCTGGCTACTTTAAAGACACAAATAAGTAACAAGATAGTTATTGGCATATGGGGACATCAAAATGAAAAACAGGTACAGGTTTCGCCTTAAAATCTACGGTAATATGATATTTTATGTATGGGAAATTCACTTAGAAGGATAATCTTCTTTAATTTAAGTAATCAAATACATTTACCGCCAAACAATACAAAATACTTCTATCAACGGGAATAATTATATTTTACGTTTTCATACCCATTCAGTAGATCTACAGAGTATAAGCTTTGACTGTTGATAGAAATAGACGTTTCCCCTTGTTAAAGTGGTCAACAGTTAAAAAAATCTAAATGAACGTATTTGAAGTGAGCCAACGACAGATTGCACTGATTTATATGCAGACATTTTTAACAAGCACAACTTGACTAAGGACGATTTCGGTTAACCATAGCATATTCTATACCACGTATACTATCTCAGGACAACAAATAAGATACAGTTTCATACACTAGCGCAATCTGTGACTGGCTCACATACCATGTTATTTTTAATAAAAGGTAGCAACCAGTCAATATGGATAGTATTTATATTTTAGTATCTAAAGGTCAATGCTAATAGAAGTTTCTCTTTAGCGTTATACCTTATAGGTACTGTATTATATTTTTATCTAAATGTATAAACTATATTCGAAAATAATAATATTTATTGTTAGTAACAAAGTTCTGCGAGTGCAATAACTTACACGACTCAACAACTTCATTGCCAAGAATTCTATACTCGGGTCCGAGGTTTGAGAGTATTCCAAATGGGAATATTATACAGGGAGTCCGAATGAGTAAAGATAAGAAGGAACACCTCCGACGCAGCAAACCTGCAGACAAAGCGAATTTCCATGTATTTTAATTGGATTTTACCAAGACATTTCATTAACATTTTCAGTTACTTATATATATATATTTTTTTTTGACAGTTACTACCATAAAAGAAATAGAAATGTATTTTGATAAAATGTTAAAAGTATGGTATAAATTAAATAGATCTCCGAAATTTGGTCAAAAGATCCGTAAAGAAGCGAAATACAACATATTCCTTGTTCTCCCTAGGAATAAAATGGGAAGTTCGAATGTACAGTTTTTTTGGAATCTTCCCCGTAACCTTCAATTCTACGAAAACATTTACAAAATTATTCGGGAATTTAAACTCCTCCGTATATACACACTTTGAACGTATATATGTATACCCTTGTTAACATTAATTTGTGTTTTTGGCCTCAGGGGACATTGAAAAGAAAAAAAAGGATCATTATATGGTCTAGCCTTTGTCGAGCCACATACAGAACATTCGTTAAAATTATTTCATTTTGTGTATATAAAGCTCCTTATTAGTCTTTACGTACTTAAAAAGGCTTTAAAACTGTTTTAAACTATAATATTCCCATTTTACCAAATCGTACTAAGCTAGTTTTAACATAGCAATACACGTTTTCAATGAGCATTGAACCAAAATATTGGATTTACTCTTCCTCCCAGCTTAATTAAATAAAACACCATTTTCCAATCCTCTTTTGAGATTATTGAGAACTCCACTTAGATAATCCTATTCATTTTAAAATTTTGAGTTTCGGTTGACAGTGAGTAAAAAAAAGAATTTGTGATTTAATAACTAAAACCTAGTTTAGTTTCTTAAATCACATAATATGAAACAATACACCCGCCGCAGCAAACCTGCAACTAAGCGAATTTCCATTTTCCTGATTTGATTTTTACAATCAAATTACATTAAATTGAATGAGTACCTAGGTTTGCTGCCACAGGGAGGGTAATAAAGTGTGTTTTTAGTAAGATATAAATAGCATAGAATAAAATAAATAAATTTGCCAAGCTTGACCAATATATAAACAAGGAAGCTACAACAGTTAACTTATTCTTTAAATTATCAACAAGGGAATTTTAAATTGAAATTCTTTTAAATTTTCTCCTTAACCAATAACTGTAAATAAAAAAACATAAATATACAAAATTATTTGTTTTTTAAGCTCTTTAAAAAGTTTTAAATAAAAATTTGGAAAAGTTATGTTTTGAGAGTAAAAAAAAACACATTTTACCCCATAACACCCGTTCCCTTATTCCGGTTCGCGAATTCATTCAAGTTTATCCCTCCCTACACCTTCAAGCTAAATTTCATCAAAGTCGGACAAAAATTACTCGAGTTATCG